ATGTAAATGTAAATTAAAGGCAGTTGGCACGATAAATCCCTAAGACGAGTAAGATTGATACGCCTAGCACGACGGAATTCCGCGACCCTGAGCAGGCGCTGCGTAGCGCTTTTCCAAGGAAGGTACCTTATAAGGCCCTATCAAGCTGCAACATACCGACCCGAACGCCCACCACGCCCGCCCGCCCACAAATGGACGACCGTTACCTGATGCTCGTATTGCTTCATTTGCTAAGTGAAGCGAAGGGATTGGTATGAAGCGGCTGCGGTGCTGCATGGATATATGAGTACATACGTGCAGCCGTACCTACCGTAGCGGTTATTGGCAAGATGCCTACGGGAAACTCGTCCGAAATTGCTTTTGAGTCATAAAAAACGAAGGCTTTTCTTCGCAAGTTTTCGACCATTTCACTTCGTTTTTTCGCCATTTTCCCCACTATGTAGCACCCTGCTTACATTTCAGGCCGCGTACCAAATTATCGTGTCAATTGCCTTTAAGTGAGGGCGGAAAGAGGGCGTGCCTTTCTGGGGCGTAGCTTCAAATGAGTTCCAGTACATAGTGTGCAGAGAGTAATAGTGCTATAGGATAGTGTAGACGGTGCTTCGTGCAAGAATGGAAAAAAAATCGCCACGCGAAAGAATCGAGCCGAAACATATCATTATTAAGGATTTCCCTGCGAGGGTGTGGTAACTAACTTTGTGGGAGCCCCCTCTGCCCCACCCTGACCGGTGGCATCGTAATTTCACTGGGTTCTAGGGCTGATCGTCCAGCTACCAGTTCACAACTTCACACCTCTGCAGGGAATTGGAAAGGGTGGGGGGAAGGTGTTCAATCTGGACGGTCACCCCAGTGGAATGTGTTTTTTCTCGTGTGCCCGTGTTCTGCTAGGCAACCGCCACTTTTACTCATCTTCCTCTGGCTGAAAAACTTTTCACGAGGACGGTGCACTGGGGGCAGCGTCCACATTGCATTGTGCACAACAATTTCTTCCCAGAAATCTGCTTTTGAGCGAGGTGGTGAACACCTGCGATCAGTTACAGTTACGATCCTGGCTTTAGGAGGGGAGTGACTTAGAACGGAGCCACAATAGCCCTT